ACAAAGTTTATCAACGCTTGGAAAAGTTTAAAATTTTTTATAATTAACATTATAAAAACAATATTTTTTTTTTTATTCATTAAAAAGTTTTATTTGTTTTTCTTTTTGTGTACGTACAAATAAAACAAAAATAATATAATAATGTTGAAGATTTTAAGTTTTGTTTTTAACCCCTCTCTCCCTTCCTCCCTCCCCTCGACTCCCCTTTTGTTTTACATAATTTTCTTTTATTTTATTCAATTTGTCAGGATTTTTTATTTACAATTTTAATTAACAGCCGTGAGGGCAACCGCAGCATTTACACATTTATACATATATTTCATCAACATTTTCTCAAAACTGTTTAATATATTCATATTTGATTTCTACCCCGCCCCTATTCACTCCTCCCTACCCCCATCCCCTTCCACCCTCCATGCTTAAATTAGAATAAATAAATTATTATATTTCGGTAGGTTTCTATTCAAAAAAAAAAAAAAGAAATTTTTTCTAAAAATAATAATTATTATTATTATTATTTCTCGGTAAATTATTTTTAGTTTTAATAAATAAATAAATAATAATAATAACTTTGAATAGATTTTTCTTTGTAGATAACAAACATACCGCTAATTTTAATACGAATACGTGGGTTTTTTTTTATTATTATTATTATTTTTATATCATTTATAATTTACGATATTTTTGATCGATATTCACGAAAGAAATTATAAATTTAAAAAAAAAATAAAATAAAAATAAACGGTTTTACACACGTCATAAAATTATTATTATTATTATTTGCCGTTTGGTTAAAAAAAAAAAAAAAATTACGAGTCTTGTATTAGATTAGTACATTAAATAGCATCTTGTATAAGTTTTCATATTATATCAATTTAATTTAGATTAACTTAATTTAAAATATATATTTACGTCGATATTATAAATGTAACTTAATTGTTTATAATAATTAATTTTATTTTATTAAAATTATGGTTGTTTCTATTTGTTTAATTAAAATATTATAAATTCTTCTAATAGGAAAGTAAATTAATTTTTAATATTGGATGTATTTGTACATCACATTCTTTTTTTTCTGTGGGGGGGGCAGGGAATTAAAACAATGAAAATTTATGTTCTCGCCTCATAAAAATAAATTTAAGTCAAAATAATATAAAAAAAAAACATAAAACTTTACGGATATACATGTAATAACTATGACGTATGTTGTATGAAAATAAATTATGTTTTACTTACCCATTAAAAATATTCAAACAAACATCATTACACGTACAATTTTTGTCACATTTATACTTATTTAAGTTAATAACAGTAAATAAAATCACTTTCACTAATTCTTTATACTTTTATCGAACGTTTTTGTGTATAAAAACTATAAAAATTTTCTCCTTTTTATTTATAGTTATTTATTTCAAATGAAATTAATGACACGTTAAAAACAATTTTTAATTACCCAAACAATTTTGCCTCCAAAAAAAAAAAAAAAAAAAAAAGTAAAACGATTCGATCTGACGAAACTTTTATTTTATACTAATAATTATAAATATAATAATAATAAAACAAGTGAAATTAATAAATTGATTTTTTTGTTTTTAAATAAAAAAAAACTTAAATAAAATAATAATAATTTAAAAGCAATTTTTCGCGACACACCGGAATGGTTAAAGTCGAACATACAAAAACCGTTGGAGTTCTAGAACATTTTCCGGCTTTATTAAAAAAGCGCCACTTTTCTTAGGTGGCGTGTTTTCGAACTAAAATTTCTGTCATGGCTTTTTGACACGAAATTCATCTTATTAAATGTGCGTTTCGTATAAATAAAAAAAATTTTTTTTTTTTGAAGTTGTAAATAAAAATAAACAAAATAAAATTTTGAAATATTATTTTTTTAAAAATAGTTTTTTTTTTATTATTTTTTATTCCTTCGATTTTTTTATTTATTTTTTTGTTTATAAACTAAATACCTGAATTTATTAAAGTTAAAAACGAAGTTAAAGACTGCTGAAGAATATTTTTAGAAAAAAAAATAGAAATGTTTTATTATAGAATACATTTGTTTCTATAGGTTGCCATAAATTTTTATAAAGCCATTTTTGACTCAAGGGCAAACTAAAAATTTTAGCTATATAAAAAAACATTTAATAAATTTATTGGTGTGGAAATTTTTTATAAAATAAGAACATTGTTTTAAAGGTAGAACTGATAAGTTCGCGTTAAGTTTATTTTATTATAAAACCTTTAAACCAAAAAAAACTTTCGGTTTATAATAATAATTTTTTTTTTTTTTAACCGTGAGGATTTATAATATAATTTAGGACGCATATGCAATTTTTTTTTATTTTATGAATTTTCAATAGTGTAAAAATAACGATTACGTCATCTTTGTCGTCACCTTGGAGTTAAAGTAAAGCCTCCGAGATTTCACGTTATTAATTAAACGCTTAAGAAAGCTAAACAATGAATTTTAATGTGAAATCAACCAAAAGAGGGCGTTTTGGTTAGTAAAACGTTGACTTTTTCTTAAGTAGCGTTCTAATTATAGTGAAAAACTTTAGTAATAAAATTGTGGAACTTAATCTTAAAGATTATCACATTTTACATATTTATTTATTTATTACATTAATAAATATTTAATTTTTCTGTATATCAATTGAATCAGTTAATAATTAATTTTTAATTGATATGAACAGCTTTTTTAACCAACCTTTGCAAATTAAACAGGTAAATGATATTGCTTTTTTATTTAACCGTTGTTATTTTTAAAAAGAATTATTTTAAAATAAATTACTAAAAATTGCGAATAATAATTATTTTAAATGAAAATCTTAAACTAAAAATTAACAAAATCTCTTAGTTTCTGTATAAACGTTCAATGGCCAATAAGCGTGTGAATATTAGTTTTCGTGAAAAGATTGTGTTTATGTTGTGGTAAACAGGCTTATTGATTTTATTTTACGTTGCGGCCACCTCGAGGAGTTCTATTTATATCGTATATTCCAGTTAATGGCAAATTTTTTTGTTTGTTTTTTAATGAATTATCGTTTATGCATATAGAAAGTGAATAATTATATAACTTGCCTTATTTTTTATTTGTTATTTTGTCTTTATGAATTCAAAAAAGTCGTTCAAGTGCTATCAAATTAATACAATACTTAATAATCAAAGAGAGTGTGATAATTAATTTAGAGCATTTACTGATTATTAATGCTTGATACATATTCCATATAACATTTAAATATATTTTAAGTATTTTTCAATGTAAATCTTCATTATAATAGTAAAAATAATAATTTGTGTTTGTGTTTTTTTTTACTTTTAAAATCATATATACATACGGTAACAAGGTATTTATGTTAATTTATAATACAAAACTTAAACTTATTCTTTCGAAACCAAACTTCAAATAAATTACAGAATTTTTTTGTAAAAATTTTGTAATAAATTAATAAATAAACCAATAATAAAAAGTAATAATGCAAATTGAAATTTTTAAACACGATATTAAAATAAAAAAAATTATTTAGGGGTAAAAGTACTTGTAGTATATTAATATATCTCAATATGACTAATTAATTTAAACAATTTTAACAATAAATGTTTACATTAATTGTTGTAATTTAATGTAAACAATATAAATTTTCATACTTTAGTAGAAAATGATTTATTTTTATTTAATCGAATATGTTGAAATATTAGTTTCGATGATTTTTGATAATTTTACTCAATAGTACAACCATTATTATAAAAATACTTTTGTATATTTCAACTTTATAAAATTTATCTAATTAAAATATTCTTAAAACATGTATTTTACATCTTAAATGATCATTAAATATTATTTTCATTTATTTTAAATTAATTAAGAGGGAAAAGAATTTAAATGAAGCTTATTTTAAGTATTAGTGATGATTGACGATAAAAATTAGAGTAATTTTTCTAAAATTTATCTTGTTTAAAAATTTTTGAACATAATTTTTTTTACATAGAGAATAATATAAATTTTTATTTTCAGTTCAGTATTTGGAAATATATGAGAATTATTACAATTAATTAAAAAAAAAAAAAAAAAAACGACAAGTTTATTTAATATTGTGTGTTCAAAATAAGAAATGTTACCATGATCACTCGCAGTTCTTCAAAATCTCCATTTTCATCATTTGAAATTCATAAAACTACCTCATCAGAAAAAATCAGGTATGATTTTTATAAATATTTTCTTTTTTAATTTAAACTTATAACCCATTTTTATAAAAATTACTTTTTTTTTTTTTTTTTTTTTTTTTTTTTTTTGATTAAAAAAAACATTTTTTTAATTATCCCTAACCCCTCCCATTTAATAATTTTAAAATAATTGAAAAAAAAAAGAAATGCCCGATTGGGTTGTTTGAAAATTTTTAACAGGACATTTCTTGTTGGCACAAATGAAAACAACAAGTTGTAACTTTCCTAAAATTATTTTAAATTTTTTGGGGGTTTGCTTTTTAAAAAAAACATATCAATTTTTAAATTAAAAACTCATTTTTTGTTTGTTTAAAGTAGACATTTGACACAAAAAATAATTGAATTTTATACTTTGTTCATTTTTTAGTGAAACTAATTTTGTCGTTTGTAATCATAATAATTGTAATTTTTTTTTTTTTTTTTTGTTCTCAGTCACAGTGATTCTCCGACTTCGTCAATTTTAAAAAGTCCAACACCTATATTTGTAACTACTCGCAGTTCATCGACAAAAAAATTAAAATTTGCTAATGGGCCCATTGATTTACAAACATTAAAAAACGGTTCATCCACCGAAAGTATAAGTAAGAATTTATTTAAATTTTTAACTCTTATATTATGTTATTTAAAATTAATCACTGTTCTTTTTTTTTAATTAAATGTTTTTAGCTAGCAGTGATTCAAAAGTAGAAACAACAGTTGAAAGTTTTGATACGAGTAACAATGGTGAAATAAGTACAGATGAAAATTCTGTTGAAATTTCTGTATCTCCAGTGAAAACCATGAAGATATCACCTGATTCTTGGAAAGCTTTTCTAGAATATAAAAAATATTACGATTATCCAAAGTATGTTTCAAACAAATTATTATTATTATTATTTTTTTTTTATGTAAAAAAATGTAATGGGGTTTTTATTGGTTTTTGCCATAGCGAAACCGAAAAAACAGATTACACATATTCAAGATTGTCGAAATTTCGACATAAAGAAATAATTCCTGGGTTTTTAATAAGACCTAACTTATCACGTTCGTCTATATCGTCGAGAAGATCATCATCATTTGACAATTTTCTCACCAATCAGTCCTCTTTCAGTGACACATATTCATACGATTTTAAAATAAACAGCTCAACTGATGGAGAAATAAATAATGAATCTAAAGTATCGAGTAAAACAAACGCAGGTAATTAATTTTTGTCTTATTAAAATAGTAACAAATGGCTACACGTGTGTGCTTTTTTTTAAAAATAAATTTTTCTTTTCAGGTTCTCGATCAAAGTATTATTTAAGGTCCAGCAGTTACGGTGATGCAGATGTCGGAGAAATAGAAACAAAACCAGTTTGTTACGAAAAAGAATATGTTAACGACTCGGCACCGGAAGTTACTTTTAGAAAATCAGTTTCCTATGCTTCAGAAGAATTACCATCGTCAAAAACAGGGAATCAAGTATCGTCTTCCCAATTTTACGTGAACAACCTGAGAGCTTTGGAATTGGACGACGATGACATAGATGAAGTCGACGATCATTCGGTTAAATATGCAAAACGTAACAAGGGTGGTTCGTGGCACAGGAAGAAATTGAATCACCCCGTAGCGTTTCAAATTATATCAGTACCTTTTTCACATCAATATTTTTTTACTTAACTGCTGTAGGAGTCATACGAAAGATCTCTTTTCGAGATATATATTGAGAAGAAAGGATGATTATTATTCACCCGGCAGTTACAGATATTCCAGAAGTATGGGTTCATCAATGTGGAAAGATAAAATGCCTTACTCTTCCGGTTATTATGCTGGTGAGTTTTTGTTTTAAGAGAAAGTCTAGGAGAATGTTAGTTAAATTATATTATTTACGCCATGTTTAACCGTTGTTTATACCCTATATTAGATCGTTGTTACGATTTGGAAGAAAGTTGGTATCAAAGATTTTCCTACTACGTTCAAGACAAATTTTCAAAATTTTCAAATTTGCTAATGGGGGGAAGTGGTTCAAGGTATGCCGGTTACAATAATCAGGAGACGTCATCGAAATGGAAAATCTGGTGGTTATTATTACCACTTTTGCTATTGACCGGTAAGAAAATTTTTCACACTTTTTTTTTTTTTTTTTTTTTAATGTAAGAATTTGTAATTTCGTTTATGGTTACCTCCAAAATTTTTATTTATTCACTATAAAAAAAAAAAAAAAAAAAAAAAAAAAAAAAAAGAAAGAAAAAAAAAGGCTTTTATTAACATGCCATAAAGCTTATTAGATTTATTTTAAACAAAAAAAAAATTAAAATCACAAGCAAAAGTTTATTTATTAATCAGCTGCCGATTACTACAAAAGTTTTTTTGCCCTAATTTTTGCTTAGCTTATTTTATTAAATTACTCAAAAAAAAATTGTTTTTTTTTTGGGCTTGCGACTGGTACGCGGATATTTTATTTTTTTGACAATAATATATATATATATACTGTAATTACGGAGTGAATAAATAATTGTTGTTGTTGTTGTTGTTGGCATTATGCTATTATTATTATTATTATGAACACCCCCAAAGAGCATCAATAATTAATTATATTTTATTCGCCATCGTTACGAAGGTATTGATGTAGGTACTTGAGCCAGGTATCGAAATGCAACACTTTACAGATACAATTTATTTAAAAAAAAAAAGTAAATAATTGACATGGACATTTTTTTTTTTTTGTGTGTGTGAGAAGCACGTTTTAGTTTTACTTTAAAAAATTTATTGATCGGTTTAGGAGAAAGGGAATTTATTCAGGGAGGTTTTTTAACAACTTTCAATAATAATAATAATAATAATAATAATGGTAGCATTAAAAATTATAAAAGCACTTTTAAAGTATGGTTCAGGTACCTCGCACAATAATAGTTTTTAAGACAGAGAGAGATTCATTTTTTTTTTTTTCGAAGAGAGAGGGAGGGAGGGAGGGGGAAGAAATGAAAAAAAAAAAAAAAAAAAAAAAAAACAGGAACGTAATGTTATTTTAAAAGCCAAATAAAATAGAGAACGTTATTGCAGAAAATAGTAAGAAAAAAAAAAAAAAAAAAAAGAAATTATTTTGTTTATTTATATTTTTTGTATTTTTTTTTTTTTATTATTTTTTATTTTATTTTAAATTTATTAGCGATCAGACTTTATTTTGTTTTTAGATTTAAAAAAAAAAAAAAACAGGAATAAAAAAAATGTCCTTGTATGACTTCACTTTTCTTTTAATTGCAGGTTCTTTCTTGGGTTACATCGATTTCTTTTCTAATCCAAAAGCCATTTTGAATACCATGTACAAGTTCTTGTTGTTCTTTCCCCAATTTATTCATTACACGTTCATGGTATTCATTCCTCAGTTGATATTCGTTTTCATACCGTATTTTATATTGACCGCGATACCGAATTTCATAACCGTGACGGTGCCGGCTTTTATAAAAAATTTAACTTCTTATTTTTCGAACGCCATCGTCCATTTCTTTGCGAGTATATCGATAATGAAAATTTGGAATGCTTGTGCGTCAGCTCCCGGGGTATTTTACGTTTGGTCAACGAATTTAATTTCCGGTTGGGGAAAATATTTATTGAACGCCTCGATAAACGCAATAGAATTAAGCTACGCTTTAACATTGAATTATTTGATGCTTTTTTATTCAAACTTTTGTACGAGCATGTTTCAATGGTTGTTAAGAGTCAACGGTTACGTTTGGTATACATTTGATATTTTGTACCATTCGTGGGAATATTTATCATCTTTTTTTTAAAAAAAAAGAAAGAGATAGAGAGAGATGACATATTCATTTTTTATATTTTATTTTTTATTTATTATCATTATTTTTATTTTAAGTATTTATTGAATGGATTTTTTTTTTTTTTTATAAAGACAAAAACCGGTTGATACAAAAAAGAATGATCTCGCGTTGCTTTGTTTCAAAAAATAATAATTATGGTCAGGTGCCATTTTCTGCTTGATATTTTATTTTTTACTTGAGGGAAGACAAAAATGTTATAAAAACTGTTAAAAGTTCAAATTTTTATTTAAAAAAATTTTTTTTTTTAATCCCGGAGGAGATTTTTCTTGTTGAAAAAAAATTATTATTAATTTTTATTTTATTTTTTGTTTGCTTATTTTATTTTATTTAGCTTGTTATTTTAACGTTTTTTAATGGTAGTAGTAGTAGTAGTAGTAGTTATTTATTAATATCACATTCAATCGCTTTTGCTGCAATAACTAAACTAATTTTATTATTATTATTTTTTTTTATATTAATATTGAGTTTATGCTTGTTTTTAAATAAATAAATAAATAATTTTTTTATTTTATTTTCTCCTCGATGCGTATAAATAAAACGTGTAATAATGAAGGCTTTTAAAAATAATTTTTAATAACGAATTAATTTAATCATGTCACCGTTAAAACTATTTAAAGAAAAAATTAATTAATTAATATTATTAATATCAATAATAATTAATAACTGAATTTTTATAAGGCGAATGCAATCGATTAATTTTTTTTTAACCTGGTTTTTAATAATATTTTATGTAAATGAAATTTACACTACCTCACACTATACATATATATATATTTATGTATGTATCTTCCCACCAAATAATTTCATTTATTTATTAATTTTATCTTATTACTATTATTATTTTTATTTATTTATTATTAATTAATATTATTTTTATTGGATTTTTTTTTATTTAAATAATTTATTTTGTTTGTTTTTTTTTTTTTTACAATCATTTTTGAATTCTGGCAGAGGAAATCATTTTATGATTGTTGTTGTCATTATTATTATTACTATTATTATTATCGAACGAATACCGTACTAAGCTTTTCGTACCTTTAAGCTTTTCCGTTTTTTTTTTGTTTTTTTACGATCGGAAAAATTTTTAAATTTGTTCTTCTTTTTGCACTTTTTTTTTTGTTTTTTCCACGTGTTTCGCTGAGAAAAGAACAGAAAGAGGGATGAATGGGGGGAGGAAGGGGAGGATAGGGAGGGATTCGATTTCGTTTTGCTTTTTGCGTGGCTTATTGTTGACATATATACTCTTCAAAGAATGGGCGAACGAATCGTAACAATTATTATTATTACTATTTAAGTATTACTCTTTTCTTTTTTTTTTTAATATAAAATATATTATTACTGTTGCACTTTATTCAAAATGGTTGAAGGACAAAGAAAGGAATATGCCATCATCTGGCGAGTAGAGAAGATTTCGTTAATTTTAATGACGTGAATGAATGCATGTCGTGGAACGGGAAAACGTATAAGAGCACGACCACGGTGAGTTAGCCCTTATATTTTTACTTTTTAATTATTTTAAATTTATTTTGCTTCATTTTTTTTTTTTTTTTGTTTTTACTTTTACATAATTATTTATTTATTTTATTACTCCGCTACGATATTCCTTTCTTTGATACCTCGGCCAGAATTTTATTCGTAAAAATTATGTTGAAAAAACTTTTTTCTTTTTTTTTTTTTTTTCATTTATTCTTTCTAGCTTGTCTAAATTTTTTTTTTTTTGGTTTTTGTCTTTTTTTTTTACAGAGCACGTTGTCTTTTTTTTTCTTTGATTTTAATAAAAGATTAATTAATTGTTTTGCGATCCATCCAGATCCAGGAATGGGATAAAATGTTTTTTTTTTTTTTTTTTTTTTTTTCGAAACGTCGTCGTAAGATATTATGTGTTACAAACAATTGAAATGGAAAATTCGTTTTGTTATGTTTTCCAGGATTTTTCCTGTTCAAAGCGGAAGAGAAAAGCGGGATTATATCGGATCAGTTCAAGGCATTGGATTGTCAAACAAACGGATTGCTCACGTCATTGGAATCCAAAGTGAAACCGATTTGGAAAACGGGTTACGTGACGTATAAAAAAGCGACAGCAGCAGTGAATTGCTACGCTTTGGATACATACGACAGACTTAAATTACCTTTCGTGCAAGGAGGACAATGGATGAATTCGTATTTTTCAAATGTTCACGATGATCCACTCACGAGTGTCGCTCTGGGTTTTTGGAAAACTTTTTCCACAGGTTTATGCACGATCGCGAACGCATTGCAAAACGCCATTTTTCATTTTTGCTACGTTTTAATTGATTTTTTCACGGATGTACTTAGTGCGGCATCAAATCTATTCGTTTACACTCTAACTTATTTAAAAGATGTTTTTTTTACCGTATTTGAAATATTGAAAAGATTTTTGGGAAATTTTTACGACGCGTTGAAAAAAAGTGTACTTAACGTTTGGTCTTATTTATATTTGTTATTATTTTCCACGAAAGACGACGATAAAATTTTAAGGAATGAAATGTCGGAAAAAGTGATGGATACGTCCTTGCATTACAAGAGCAGTCCTGTTAAATCAGATGAATTAAAAAACATAGCTTGGGATTTGTCGAATTTTAAAAAAAGATTCGACGAATTAGAATCCGAATTTAGAAAAGAAAAACAATCCGTGAAAATGAGAAACGATTTTTACAACAAACAATTCGAAAATAATAATTTGGCTTTGCAGGTACCTTTTTTTTTTTTGTAAATTTTCCCTCAGACGGAAGAAAAACAAAATCTAATAATTTAATTAATTTGTTTATTTATGATTTAGAAATATGAAACCGTTTTAAATCGTGCCGTTTCGTCTGCTAAAAAACCCGATTCAATCACCAATTCCACCGTGCAATACCTTTTAGATAATCATTTCAACGAATTGAAACAATGGATATTGGAAAATTTTATGCTTAAAATTGATTCGCCCAATTTGGACGAGAATAAAATCGTTTCCATAATAGCAAAACATTTGAACAAAACAGGAGAAGAATTGATGATTCTAAAGGAAGAATTTAAAAGATTTACTCACGATCACGACGTTGAATTGAAATCTGTGAAAAAAGATTTTGGGTCTTTGATCACGAGCAACATGGGCGGCGACATATCCGACTCTTACATAAGAAAAATCGTGAACGATGCCATCAAATTGTACGACGCTGACAAAACGGGAAGAGTTGATTTTGCATTGGAATCTGCCGGTAAGTCTGAAAATAAAAATAAAAAAAAAATAAAAAAAAAAGAAATGATTACACAAATTCACTTCGTCACAGGGGGTCAGATAGTAAGCATACGTTGTACGGAAACTTACATGGCAAGTCCAAAATCGTACGTCCTGATGGGTTGGCCTCTATTTACCAAGGCTAGCAGTCCACGTGATGCAATCACACACACAACGGCTGCCGGTCAGTGTTGGGCCTTTGTAGGATCCCAAGGTTTTTTGGTCATACAGCTGTCGCACAACATCAAAGTAACGGGTTTCACGATGGAACACATGTCTCGTTTGCTCGCACCGAACGGACACATTGAAAGCGCTCCTAAAAATTTTAGCATGTGGGTGAGTAAAAATGTTTCCCTCATTCCCTCCTTTCCTTCTCCCCTTTTAAACGTGTCAAAATAACACGAGGGAAAAACTTACCCAAATGAAAATTTCAGGGATTGAAAATGGAACACGATTCAAAACCTTATTTGTTCGGTGAATACATTTATTTGGACAACGACGAAACTCTTCAATATTTTCCTGTCGCTCATCCGACGTCGGAAAAATACCAAATGGTCGAATTGAAAATTGCATCGAATCACGGAAATCCGAATTACACGTGCCTGTATCGCATTCGCGTTCACGGAAATTTATAATGACAACCTGGAAGAAACAAAAAAAAAAAACCAAGTTTATATGAAATCATTATTATTATTAACCTTTTTTTTTGTTTTTGTAATTCAAAGAAAGAGCTTTCTTTAAAAAATAAAAAACCGTGTATTATTTAAATTTGTTACAAATGAAAATTTTAAGCCAAAGATATGAGCAATCAATATATTTATATAATAAATAAATATATATATATATATTTGACATAGTGGTGACGGTAGTTCAAAAAAGTGAACAAGTAATAAAAGTGATGATGATGATGATTAACGGCCTCGAAGGAAGGAAAAAAAAAAAATGGCGTGATAAATAAAAATGAAGAACAAAATAAACCGAATGAAATTTTTTTTTTTTTTTTTTTACGTCCGCCTTAATTATTGCACGTTTAAATATTATATGTACGTTAATAATTTTTTTTTTTTTTTTTTTTCCCGGTTTTTTAGAGTTTTTTTTTTTTCTGTTTATATAAAATGTAAAAAAAAAAAAAAAAAAAAAAAAAAAAAAAAAATAATTAGAAATTTCGAAATGTAACACGATTAGATTTATTATTCGCTTATTTTTTTTTTTTTGGTACAAAACTAAAAATCAATTAATTTTTTTTTATTTTTATTTTTTTATTTCAGTTTATGATGAATGAATTTAATGAAAAGTAATTTATTGAGAAGAAAAGAAAGAAAGAGAAAAATAATAATAAAAAAATTTTTTATTTAATTTGTATGATGATTGTTTTTAACTTATATATAATTGCTTGGCATTTAAATAATAAATAAATAGATAGATATAAAAATTTGGTGAAAGGCGCTTTATGTTTAACCCCATAAAAAAAAAAGTTTATTTTGAAAAATTGTAATTTTTGAAATTTAATTTTTTTTTTTTATAAAATACATGATTAGATTGTAGAAAAGAAAAGAAAGAATAGATTTTATTTAATTACCTGAATTAAATTATTTATTTAAATTATTAAATTTTAATTCCAGAAAGAGTTGAAATTGTTAACAAGAAGTCAAAACTTATTAAAGTTAATAAAATTAAGGATTATTAAACAGCGTAAATATAAATAAAATTGACGGATTTTAATTATTTTAATTGTAGTTAATTAAAAATAATTATTTTTTGGTTATTAAACCGCAAATTAATTATTAAAATAAATTATTTTGAATGTTTTGTTTTTAATACATTAATATTTCTAATGACACGACAAAAATTTTAAATACCGTTGTTTTAGTCGTGTTAACATTTATTTATTTAATAAATGGTGTTACAAAAAAAAATAGTTTATGGGTTACGTGTTTAATTCAAAATGTTGGATCAATTAACTTTTGAAATAGAAAACAAATTAGAAATAGTAATTTAATTTTTTTTTTTTTTAGTTTTTTTTCTTTTTTTATTCGAATAATATTTCAAAATTTCGAACGTACGAATATTTTTCAGGAGCAAAATTGTTTAGATCTATTAAAGGAAAGGGTTGATAGAAGTAGTCAATTAACCAAAAATATGGTCGGTATTTTAAATTCGTTTGAAGATAGGCTTTCTCGATTGGAAGAAACAATTTTACCTGTTTATAATGAAACAGGAAATTTACAAAGGAGACAGCAAAGTAAATTTATTATTAAAGTCACTTGTTAAAAAAGGATTAATTTTCTCAATGATGAAATATTTTTTTTGAAAATTATTTTTTTTATAGATATTGAAAAAACTCTTGCGTCATTAGATACTGTGATTAATTTTTATATTGTGAGTCAAGAAGTAGATTCTATCATAAGGTCAGGACCTAGTCATACAACAGATGAAACAACAAATTTAGATACATTTTTAAAAGCAATGGATAAATTACAAACAGCTCAAGAATATTTTGAAAAGCATAATCCTCAAAGTGTCGAATTGGAAAATGTTGCAACACTGTTTAATGATGGAGGACTTGCTTTAAGTCGAGAATTCAAAGATTTAATTTGTAGATACAGTAAACCGATTTCTCCAATGGTTCTGCTTGATCTTTTGGGAAGTGATGAAGGTATTAAAGATTAATCTTGCATTTAATTTATTTTTATAGAATATTTAAATTGTGTTTTTCATATTTTTTTTTTTTTTAGATACATCTAATGAAGATACTCCACCCTCACTTCATCAATTTCCAGAAAATGTTTCCGAAGAATTATTTAAAATTGCCGATTGGTTAATTACTCACAACAGAGATGAATACATGAATGTTTATGCAAAAGTCAGAGAAACAGTTTTAGAAAATTCAATGAAACAATTAAAAGATCAACAGAAAAATGCCAGTGGAGGAAGTATGCAAAATATTCAAAGCATTCTTAGTTCTCCTTCAGCTGTATGTTTATCAAAATGAATTTAAAACAAAATAATCTTTTTAATTAGTTATTTATAAAAAGTATTTGATTTTACAGAAGCCAAAATTTCAAAACAATCGAAAAGTATCAAAAAGACTACAGCATGCATTAGAAAAAAGGGCTAATAAAATGTTATTAAAAGCTTCGCAGACTCTTGAACAGTCGACAGGGTTAACATTAGGCAACAGGAGGCCCACATTAATATTAGGTTTTATTATTATTTTTTTAAAAACAATTTTCATCGAAAAACCTTTTTTATATATTATACTTGTTGAATTGAGGTTAAAAACATTTTTATTTAGAACACAGGGAAGATCTTGTCGATGAACAGGAAATGGAAAATTATTTAGTAACAGTTATGGCATTACAAAAACTAATTCAAAATGAAAGAAATCTTATGGTTGGAATTATACCATTACAACATCAAAGTAAAATATTTGAAATTATAATTAAAAGTTCAATGGATATGATCGTACAAGATGGTGAAGTAAGTTTTTGTAATTTTCAAAGTTTTCAAATGAAAACAAAAATTTTTTTTTTTACAAAAAAATTTTTTAATTAATAGAATATTGCATCGAGAGCTAAAAAATGCATTAACAAACACGATTTTGCAGCCGTTCTTATAATATTCCCGATATTAAAACAATTATTAAACATGCAACCGGAATTTGATAAAACCGTTCAAGGCTGTGATCCGAACGTACAAAGAAAATATTTAACCATTTTAAATACTCTTCATTCCACGGCAAGTCAAATTTATTTATTTATTTTTAATTTTTTTTAAAATTAAATATATAATTATTATTAAAATTTTCATTCAGGGAGCTAAAGCACTGGAAGATTTTATCGAAAGCGTTCGAAACGATACAAATTCTCAATTACCCAAAGATGGTACCGTCCACGAATTAACAAGCAACGTTTTAGTTTTTCTAGAACAATTGACAGAATACATCGATACGATAGCTGGTGTCCTTTTAAAAGATCCTTTTTACAGTGCTCCCCTTAGCAGAATAAATTGCACAAACAAAGATAAAGCCGTCATTGGGATTTACATAAGTAAGAAAGAAAAGCAAAATTATTTTTTTTCGGATCAAGTTAAGAAAAGGCAAATGAAAAAAAAAAATTTTGAAATTTCTAGAAAAAGTATTGGCTCAACTTAATTCGACGCTCATGAGCAAAAGCGACGTTTATGCAGATGTTTATTTAAGATCAATATTTAAATTAAATAACAATCATCACATATTAAAATCATTGCAAAGAAGCGAACTCCTTGATTTGTTAAAATGTAGCGAACCAGAATGCGAAAAAAATTATTTCGACATGATACAAGATAATAAAAAAAAATACATGCAAAGGTACAAATACATAAACCCTTTAAAAATTATTAATATTATTAAATTCAATCGTTTAATAAATGGTTTTTTTTAGTTGGGGAAAAGTATTGAGTTACATTTGGAACAGCGAAGAAGTATCACAAACGCAATATGGTAAATTCAAAGACAAAGATAGACACGTGATAAAAGAAAAATTTGCGGTGAGTTAAGGGTTGACATTTTTTTTTTTTTTTTTTTTTTTTTTTGCCAAAGTCGTCGAACTTTATGAAAATTTTCCATTTTCAGGGATTCAATAAAGAAATAGAAGAGATATCGAAAATTCAACACGGATATTCCATACCGGATGTAGAATTGAGAGAAAGTTTAAAAAGAGACAATAAAGAACTCATACTACCCAAATACAATGCATTTTACGAACGTTATTCGAACGTTAATTTTTCGAAAAATCCAGAAAAATACATAAAATACACTCCGGCTCAAGTTTCCGCATTGATTGATAGATTTTTCGACGTGGCAGCTTAAATTGATATAATCGCTTTTAAAAAATTCGCGACGAACACACCCACGCACTGCCAAAGATCAAAAAAAACTAAAAGAAATTTTGCCGATTATTATTATTATTATTAGTAATGTAAATATAAATTAATTAAGGAGACAAATAAAATTTAAAGTATTTTTTTTTAGAACGGATTAAATACCAATACGACGTGGTCTTAATTAAAACGATATTATTATTATTATTATTAATATTTTAAAAAAAAAATAAATAAATTATTACGTTGTTATTTTTTATAGCGTTATAAAAAAATATGCATGCATGTATTTTATTATTATTATTAGTTATTATTTTATTTTGTATATATATGTATGAAATATACACAAATTTTAAATGGAATAAATTTTTTTTTTTTTTATTTAATGACCTCTTTGAAGAAGAAAAAAAAAATTTTTTAATTTTTAACAAATGGAAATGAATAGAAATGAAATTAAATATTGTTAGATCGAACGGTTGTTAGATTTATTAAATTTATCGACTAATTAAAATGAAAATATTATCTAGTTATAGGTGGAAATAAAACGGATGTTGGCGGTAAATTGGCATTCGACTGGTAAGAATTAATGGCAAAACGTTCATTTCTTATTGGTGGTAAAGGACTCGTTGCCCAATCGGAACTTGGTGTGCTGGAAGGAGTTCTCGTGCTATTTTCGCTACTGTCTTCTACAAAAAAGAAAATCCTAAAATTATTTTAACGTTCTCCTTCGAGCTTAAAATGCAAAAAATAATTTTTTCAAGTAACCATTTTCCGATGTTTTTATATTTTCGTACGAAAAACGTTTATTATTTAAAATCGGTGGTAATTTTCCAGAACCGTTTCTATCATTCGTAGTATTATTATGATCGGAAGAATAAGAATCGTAATAAAGTTCTTGTTGATAAAGTTTATAAAGTTCTTGAAGATCGGGTGGAAGATGTAATTTACCATCTAAAAAAAAAAAATAAAAAATAAATAAATAAATAAATTTTTCTTTCCCGGATTAAATCCCGGATTTCCTTTGATTTTACCTTCCATTATTTTCCTTTGTCGCGTTATTATTTCGTCACAAATTTGCCTTTGCCTATTAAATCTTAATATAGTTATATCTCTTTGTCTCAATGCGTTTTCTTTTGTTAATCTTTCACTTTGTAATATTATTTTATCGATTTCTAATTCGTGTACTCTTATTATTAATGATAATAATTCTTTTTCTTCATCCGAATTTATTTCGTAAGGTAATTCCTGACAATTAAAAACAAATTTTGAAAATAAAAAAAAAAATTTTTATTCATTTTAACAAGAGACAATAAAAAAAAATTTACTTTTTCCAACAGAGATGATTTTTCTTTACATCTTTCCAATTCTACTTCCGTTATACCTCTTAATTCTGAATATTTTTCTTGTTCTTTTTCAAGTATTGAAATTTCTAAATAAGCTTTTTCAATAATTTTAGAACTCGAATCTTTTTCGAAATCTTCGTAATCTAATTAAAAAAAAAAAAAATAATAATAATAATAATAATCCTTTTCTTAATAATTATTTTATTTTTTTTTTTGCTTTTTCTTTACCCAAATCTAAACTTCCCAAATCCGGTCTTTCTAGAAATCTTCCAGTATTTATACTATTAAAATAAAGTCTATTATTTTTTCCTTCCCATTCTGATATAATTGTATGTTGCCTTTCGATTTCCGTTTCTAATTCCATTAAATAACTTTCTATATTGAATAATCTTTTTCTTAATTTCATTTGTGTTTTAAATGTTGTTATTATTTCATTTTTTATAGATGCTAAATGATCGGGATTCGTTTGTCGTTGTTGGGAATAAAAGTTTTCTTTTTTTTTAAATTCATCATCTTCGATTTTAAAACGATCTTTATGAATATTTTCCATAATTATTTTATCATCGGGCATTTTAGATTTGAGTCTTGCTATTTCATCACGTAATTCCGATATTATGGTACGATATTGTGACACGTGATACGATATATCGAGTATATTTTTTTCGACCTGATGATAAATGATAATGATAATATCATTTTCCGACCGACTCCATTTACAAAATTTCCCAACTTACCTTATTCGATATACTTTTAGCTCTTTCCGCATATAAAAGCGTATTTTTACTTTCTTCCCTTTGATTTAATGCCGGACTCACGTGTGCTATCATACATGTTTGACTATTTCCGCTTAGTGCATCTTTTAACAATCTCGTTAATTTTGAATCTCTGTAATTAACGTATGTTGCACCCCCCGATAATGCATTTATGCAATTTCCCAATGCCAATAATGATCGATTTATATGAGCTCCTTCGACTAATCTTTTACCACGATTCTGTAAAATATATGTGAGAAAAAAATTTTCCTCGTGTTAAAAAATTGACCTAAAATTTTTCATATCGACCTCCTGTCATTTATAATAGACCTCCTATCATTTATTAATGAAAAAATATAAACGCAATATCACCCCGTAATTAAAAAAAAAAAAAAAAAAAAAAGAACTTTTGCGTGTTGAATTTATATTTCTTATTATTAATAAAACCGGAAATGATAAACCTTTGTTTGTGAGGCTCTTTCCGAACCGGCTAAATCAATCATAAATAATTTTCCTTGTTTAATTCTTGCTTTGAGTTTTTCATTTTTTGCACTTGGAAAAGTTTGTCGAACGTTTATACTTAAAAGTGCGTGACTTCTTGATGATGTTTTATTAAGTGCTGTAGGTTCCATAGTTCTCGCTTTATTTCCTTTTTGTAATAATCTAATCATCTGGAAAAAATATTTTATTTATTTTTATTAAAATTTTTTTAAAATAAATTAATAATAATAACGTTTTATTTTTAATTTTTTTTTTAAATATAAAAGTTTATAAAAACTTGTTAATTTATTCTTTTTTTCTTTTAAATTCGAAACCTTTTCAAATTTTTTTTTTTTTTTTTTTAAAAGTTGGCAATAAAAATCAACGGTTAAATATTTACATACACGTTTAAAAAATATATAAATATATATGTTTATGTATACATGTGGAACATGATTTAAATATAGAATTTCTAAATGTTATTTAAGATAATATTATTAGTATTAATTAGTTTTAAGCAAGAGTTATCCATGTGTTTTCAAGAAAAAGATGTTTTACAATTTTTAGTTAAAATCGAAGCGAAGGGAAAATTTTTAGATTGTGCAGGTACAATTGTATCATCCAACGCCGTTCTCACATCGGGTCACTGCATGGAAGGTCTCAAACCGAATGATGTCACCATAACTCACGTAACCGACACCGTAAACACATACGATGCTAAATCTATAACAATGTATCCGAAATACGATAGTCTACAACTGATCAACGACGTCGCAGTCATAATAACAAAAAAACCATTTGAAAAACCCTGGAAATCCGTTACTCTAAAGGATACCTTAACAGAATCCGATTGTACCTCTTTTCAAATCCTCGGGTGGTCCACGGAAGACGATAAAAATTTAAAAAAGGAAAATAAGTCATCCGATCCATCAACTTTCATACACACGCCGATGATAGCAAACGTTAAAATAATAAACAGAATCGAATGTGCACTTTTGATAAAAACATTGGGGGGAACGTTACAAGGAAAAGAAATACTTTGCGGTGTGACAAAAGAAGAAGGCGAAGAAGAACATGATAACTGTTTTACAGGTCCCGGAGGACCCTTAATATGTTCCCTCGAACCTAAACCCCCTTCGAAAAACAATAAAATGAAAAAATTCATATTAATAAATAAAAATATTAATAATAATAATGAGGATATTGTTAAAAACGGTACGTTGTCGGAGCCGATTGATTTATTAGAAACAACCATAAAACAATTAAAAAATAAACGAAACGTTATCCCTGACGATGATGATGATGATGATGATGATGATGATGATGACGATGAGGATAAGTTACATAAGAAAATATTACAACTCGGTGTTGTTACATGGGGAAAAAGTTGTTCTAAAATTCCGAGTGTGTACCTTAAAACAGAACCTTACAATCGGTGGATTCGACAAATCATCGCTGATAACAAAATAAAGAAGAGAGCTTTTAATTATACTCAATACGATTTGAACACAAAGTTTAGCGATTGTAAAACACCATTAGGAAGATGCATTGGCAGCCATATTGTTTTTAAATATTCATTTTTATTATCTGTAATTGCTATGATCGTTAATTATGTGTTACAGTCAATGTAAAAAAAAAAAAATTTAATTTAAATAAAAAAAAAAAAGATGGTATTAATTCATTCATTTTTAAAAAGAATAATAAATTTTTTTTTGTTTTTTTTTCGTTCGAAACGGAAAACCGTTATGGAAACAAACAAAAGAAAACATAACAAATAATATAATTGACCGATTACATTATTATAACAACTTCCGCATTTGTATTAATGGATTCCTTTTTTTTTTTTTTTGTTTTCTATTATTATTATTATTATTATTTACGAAAAAAAGTTTTTTTTTTTGTTTTGATTTTCTTAGTTTTTCCCGACGGCAAGAAAAAAACATCATGAATGATTAAAATAAATAATTGAGAAAATTAAAATTGTTAACAAAATCGAACTGATTTTGTTTTTTTATTTATTTAAATTATGTAAATTGTTTTCTTTTATTTTATTTTTTTTTTCCGTTCCTTAGCAATAAAAAGTTTTATTGTATTCCATTTTTTAAAAAAAACGACATCAATTAAAAATTTGAGTTTTTCTTTATTTTATGATGTTTTCCATCATCGGAATAAACATTGTCAACATGCAATGTTATTTAAAATGTTTTTGTTTTTCCGTCGATTTTTAATTTTATTTTGTTTTCTATCTTTTAATACGTAACCGTATTTTAGAATCATTTATTTACTCTATGACTTTGTCGTTATTTTAATAATAAATAATTTATTTATTTAAAAAAAAAAAAGTCAAGTGTTAAACATAAACGTTTTATTCGCCATAACAACAACACACTTCGCACTCCTTATTTCGTGTTCTACTTTAATAATTAATTTCACTTTTTTTTTTATTAAATAAATTATTATTATTAATAATGAATAATAAAATGAATTCGATTAAATACTAAAAAAAAAAAAAATTTTATTAAACTCACTTCTTCGGTCGAACTCGTTGAAACTTCTGATAATTTAACAACGTGTACAGTTTTTTCTTTTTGATCTTCTCGAAGTTCTAAAAATCCCGTTTCCGGATTTAATAAATCTCTTATATTTTCATTATATATTTCTAAATAAGACATGGTAACCTAAATGGAAAAAAAATGGAAAAATCGTTCGGATTTAATTAATTAATTAATTAATTACATAATTAAATCACCGACGTTGTAATTTTGTGGAAGATTTGTATTTTTAACAAAATTAAATATTTCATGGAGTGCTCGAACCATAATTCCAGGTTCGGTTGTTGTACCCAACATCGTATGAGTTTTCCCCGAACCGGAAGCTCCATATGCAAATATTGTCGAATTATAACCGTCCAAAACATCTTTAACTAAACTTTTAGTTGTTTTATTAAATATTATTTCCTATTCATTAAAAAAAAAAAATTATTATTATTATTATTACTATTTTCGCGAGTTTTAGTTAAATTTTTTTTTCCTAGATGATACCTGGGAACTATTTTCATCGAAAACGGCATCGAAAACATATTGTCGATCGCTACCGCGATTTTGTCGCAAAATATCATTTTTATCAGCTTCGTTTTCTTCTAATATTATAACCTTTAAAAAAAACCAGTTTTATTATCATTATCATTATCATTATTATCATTATCATTATTATTATTATTATTACATATACGTTGTATTTGTAATGATTTAAATTAAAAAAGTGTCGTGACGGAATTTTTATGCATTTTCTTTTCTCGATCGAGTATTTATGCAGAAAAAAAAAAAAAAAAACTTGTTTATAAATTCAAAAATGTCATAAAATATTTTTCAGGGGTGTAATTTAAACAAAAGGGGGAGGGAGGGGAGGGGAAATTTAAAATGACTTTAATTGGTAATTGAAAATAAAAAAAAAAACTTAAAATAAAACAAGTCAAGGATAAAATCGAAAAAAATTTGATTGCGTTCGATAAATTTGAGGTGTTATGATTAAATTACACCGTTAATCGTTAATATTATTATTATTATTATTATTATTATTATTATTAGATTTTATCAAAACTTGGGAAAAAAATTAGTTTTTTTTTTACTTTTTTTTAAAATAATTTCTCATACACATTTTCATTATTTCGTAAATTAATATAAAAAAACTTTAAACTAAGAATAGAAAACAAAAAATTAGTTAAAATAATTTTTCATAACTATGAAATCTTCAATAAAATTATTATTATTATTATTTTTTTTTTGAAAAACATCCCTGACGAAACGTAATAATAATAATAATAATAATAAATTATTTCAGAAAACGATGATTAAAAACAAAAAAAAAAAAAAAATTGTAAAAAGAATCACGCAAAAACTAAAATTAAAACTAAATAATAAAATCAATAATTCTGAAATAATTTTATTTATTTATTTATTTTTATTTTTTTTAATAATAATAATAATAAAAAATATACATAACGTTTTTTTATAACTTTATGGAATTTATGAGTTTTAAAACAAAGTGCAATTAAGTACCCCCACAAAATTTTTTTTTTTGTTAATTACTTAATAAAATAAATCATAACATTTGTACAATGTAAAATTTTTATGTTGCATTTTTGTTCTTCAAACTCATACAATGCGCGATAATAATAATAATAATAATAAGTAATTGAATGTGTGTACCATCTGGGGTATTAAGTCAAAATGAAGTATAAAAAAGTTTACATTAGGATTTTTTTTTTTTGAAAAAAAAAATAAAACATGCAAATACATCATCATTTTAAATGAAAAAAAAAAAAAGAAAGAAATTCATTGTGAGGTTAAAGAATGTGAAAAACAATGGGGGGGGGGGGGGTGGGGGAACAAAATGGTCAAAAGAAAATATAAACCGTTCAATAAATTAAAAGAAAAAAAAAACCAGGTTAAAACATCCTTAGTAATAATATTTAAAAAATGTCGGAATTATAATTTTTTTTTTTGTTACGAATAATAATAATAATAATAATAATGATAATTTTATACCCTTCCTTCTATTATTTACTAATAATAACATACATTAAATTTTTTTTTTAATTTGAAAAAAAATTGCATGTTAATTTCGTATAAAAATTTTCTTCACTTGTAAAAATGTAAATTTAAAGGTCAAAGGTTTTTTTTTTTTTTTTGCGAAGGCGTTTTCTAACCTTTTTGTATAAATAATATACACGTGACATTTAAAAAGGTTTTCACGATTTTTACGTTTATATCAAAAAAAATTTATTCTTAAAATATAATTAATCAACGAAGGTAGAAAAAATAATATATTTTTATGATTTTTTTTTCCCCTCTCCCCAATTTTAATAACACACGCAAACGTTAAAATAATAATAATGATAATGATAATGATAATGATAATAAATAAATAAATAAATAAATTTACTTACCTGATCGTTTAAACTATGTAAAATTCTATTTGATTCATCATTTTTTAACGGTCTTATTCTTACGGCTATCTAAAAAAAAAAAATTAATAATTATTAATAATTAAATAAAACATTTATTGATAATTATTAATAATTAAAACTTATTTATTTTTACATAAAAAAAAAAAAATGTTTATATTTACCATCAATCAATTCGATAATTAAAAACTTTTTAAAATAGGTCACATTGAATATTAATTCAACAATTAAAAGTTATAATATTTATTATTTTTTTTTTACACGTAAAAAGTTTTCTTTAATTAATTCTCCCCTCCCCTCCCCTCCTCCAAAAAAAAAAAAATTCACGAATATTAAAACTGGAACAAAAAAGAAAAACGTAAACCGACACGTGTGTGTGTGTGTGTGTGTGTGTGTGTGTTATGAAAAACTGTTACGAATTCATTTCTATTCTTTTCCAGACTGGAAAATTTTTTATTGGAAAAATACACAAACTATTGGAAAACATGACAATTAAATTCTTATTTAATTTTTTATTATCAATTATGGGAACGATAATGATGATAATAATAATTTTTTGTTGTCGTTTTTTTTTTAATTTTTAATATGTATGACACACGCTATCGTATATACGTAATAATCATCCATCTATACCAATAATTCAATTATTATATCGATTTATATATTACATGATTTAGTATTAATTACAATTTTCTCTATTTTACCTCCTCAATAAAAAAAAATTTGATTGATATGTTTTTTTTTTATAAATAATTTTCCATCATAAATTTAATTATTATTAATGAGTTATTAAAATCTTAAATGAATGTAACTAAATACATTTTAAATATTGATTACATTACATTTAATAATATTGATAATAATTTACTGTGTTTAAAATCAAAGTTTTTTCATTTCATAAATAAATTATGGATAAAAGTTTATTATTAGAGAGTTCAATAACCATAATAATAATAAAGTTAAAGTTTTATTGACTTCTAAATCAATTTTACCAAAAAAAAAAAAAAAAAAAAAAAAAAATGGTGACATGTGAATTTCTCAGAGATTGTTTAACTACTTTTTTTTTTTAATTTGTTTAAAAGATTTATATATCAACCTGAAATTAATACCTTAATTATTGTTTTTTTTATCAATGATAATAAATTTTGTGAATTGTTTATAATTATTATAATATTTAAATGAAATTGAATTATCTCTGAAATTTTACTTGGTTTTCAATACAAATTTTAGTTTATTATAACTAATTAATGTTTCAATGTAAATAATCATTATAATCTGTAAGTTTGACTACAGATTAACTAAAAACCACTAAAGAAATATTATTATTATTTAAAATGTTGTCATTTAAAAGAAAAAAACTAAAAAATTATTAAGTAAAAATTTTTAATATTATTAATGTGATATGATTAGGTGATCATCTCTCATTTGAATTATGTAAAATACAAATGATTTATAAATTTAAACATAATCAAAAGTAATAATAATAATTATTTAAGAAAAAGAAGACATTTTGTTTATAATTAGGCGCCAAAATAATTATCCATTGAAATATATAAAAAATTTAATAAATGATTTTTAATCTTACCATTAACTTCCTAGATATTGACTTTGTAGGACGTCGAGAAATTTTTGTTTCCGTTAAAAAAGCCATTTTTTTAAAATTTTATTTTAATATAATAAAATAAATAAAAAGTTTTCCGTTCATTGCACAAAATAACTAATTAATTTAATATAAAAAATAACACGTTGATAATTTTTTTTTCTTTTTTTCCAACACATAATCGTTTAATTATTTACACATACAGTTGTAAATTTAAAAAAAAAAAAAAAAAATGGTTGACTACGAAAGTCAATTGAGTAAAATAATTATTAATAATAATTTTTAATTTTAAATTTTTATCGCACATAATATTTTTTTATTTATTTAATATTTAATATTTTCAATATGGTGTAGTCTTTTATCAATCGAAAACTGAACTGAAAATGTAACGAAAAAAAAAAAAAAAAGAAAAAAGAAAAAAAATATCCAAGTTGAATAAATTTTATTTTAACACGCAACACTGAACCCGCGAAAATTGAATTTTTTTTTTTTTTTTTCAAAGGAAAATATTTTTTAATGAAATCTTGTGAAATAAAAATTACTTCAAACCGATATTTCAATGTTAAATAATTATTTAGTAGAATAATTCTTACTTTTTTTTTTTACATTAATAAGTTTCACCAACGCTAAAATTTTATTAAATTTTTATATATAAATAAAATTAATTATTAATAATCTTGCAAAAAATTTTAAGGGGTTAATAACATGAATAAGTTTCGTGCATTTAATGCAAAACACATTTTTTTAAAATGGGGCCAAGGGTAATATCAAAAAAAAAAAAAAAATTTACAATCCTTGACTTCATTGATTATCTTTTCAGAATTTTTTCCTTTTACCAATCGAACTGAAATATTTTTTTTTGGTGTATTTCTTAACATAACATTAATAAAAATTTGAATCGAAATCTTTTCCTGCATGGATAAATTTAATTTTGTCAGTTTACTATGGGTTAGTAATAGAAACCGAATTAGTTTAACAAAAAATCAAACCTATTTGTTATCATATAAGGTATCAAATAATTACTTTTAATTTTTCTGTCTTCTTCTATGTAAGTAATCGAATTTGAAAAATACAAAAGTTATAGGAAATTTAAAAGACATTGATTGACTTATTAATAACATTATTATAATTTTTATATTTACAAATTATTTTTTTTCAACTTTTTAAAGAAAGCTCATTAGCACCTGGAGCAAAAACATAAAAACTTTTATCTTTTAGTAAATAATGATAGTCTGATTTAGATAAATTTAATTTTTCTTTTTTACTAACAGATAAATGACCGCTCACATCATTCGCTGTACCAGTTCGTAAGTCTTTTAAAGTAATTATTATATCAGCCACATGTTTTATAGTTTTTGAAAATTTAACAAAATCAGGACATTTAATAAAATTATGAAATGAACATATAACAGTTGAATTTTCTAAATCAAACGATAAAACTCTTAGGTAATGAATAAAATTCATTACATCATTTAAACCGGACAAATATAAATTTCCAATATTTTCAACCATCAAAGTTATATTTTTATTCATTCCCCATTCATTTATTTTCCCTTTAATTTCTGAATATAAATTTTTTAATGAATTTGAAGAATTTAAAAAATTTCCAGAAACTATTTTATCCATGACATCGATTACGAAAACATTGTCGGAATTATGATAATAACTCAAACTACATCCAATTTTTTTACATATCGAGTAAAAATGTCCAATAGAATTATGACACAAAATAAGAATAATTTTATGATTATTATCAATTTGATCTTTAATCATTGATGCGATTATAAAACTTCCATCAGAATTTCCAAATTCTTCAATGTACATAAATTTTTGATTCAAAGAAACTTCGTCTAAATTTAAATTGCATAATGTTGCAGATTTTTTTTCTAAATCCATATTTACCAACGATACAAATTATTATATTTAATAAAGTAATTCTTTTAACTTTAATAAAAATTTTTTATAAACCCTTTTTTTTTTTTTTTTTTATTTCCTTAGGTTATCTTTTTTCATAACCTAAACTTTTTAAGTGTAACATTACCTGTAAAAAAAAAAAAAAATTACTTTTTTATTGAATAAAATTTAAAATATTAAATATACATTCTAAATAAATTTAATAACTGTTTTAGGTTTTTATGTGTAATATATAAAATGTTAACAATTAATAATAAATTTAAAAAAAAAAATATTGAGGTTATCTTTTTTTTTAATTTAACTTGAAAATAAAAAAAATTAATAAAAGTCTGAATAAATTTACCCGTTAACAAATTTTTATTAATTAAATACAAATGAAATACATTTAAAATATAAATTATAATCTAATTAAATGTCGGACGTCGTCAAGTCCCTAAATTAATGACGTAATAAATGTATAAATTTTATGACGTAACAAATTATTATAAATGTCATTGTAAGCTAAATGATATTGATAAAACTTTTCAAAAATTACTTTTAATTTTACTTATTTTTAATAATGTATCTAATTCAAAAGTTTAATGAAAATTTTAAATTGAATATTTCTGACGATTGTGTGGGCGACATTTGTTTTATATCGAATAATATTAGTAAAATTAAATTAATCGTTGAAGGAACTGACGCAGGATGAAATTTAACTTACAGTTTGTGTAATGTTTGTTTGTTCGGGGTTAAGTTGCGTTAAGATTGTATTTGAACACTTTCGATGTCATGCTCAGTTTTTTTTTTTTTATTTTATTTTATCCTTCACAGCACAATCTTTGTTGATTTGTCATTATTTTTTGCCAACAGGGCCTCGACCTTAGACAACAACCTAGCCTACTAGGAATCAGATTAACATTTAATTTTTATTTTTACGAAAAAATTATAATAATATTAGGTAAAACAGATTTTATTATAAATTTTTATGTGAACGAATATTGTTTTAAGTGAAAATTTCAATTAACGTTAATTTTTTTTTGTAGTGTTAATTTAAAAAAAAATGAGTGAAAAAAAATTATCTCGTTGGTATTTCGGAGGCTTAGCATCTGCTGGTGCTGCCTGTTGCACACATCCTTTGGATTTACTTAAGGTATTTATTAATTATGTAAAAATTAAACAACTATTTAAAGTTTTTCGAATTAGGAACCATAAAAGGTATCAGTAATTTTTTATAAATGTATTAAACCAATTTTAAAGATTTAAATTTAAATTTTGCATGTAAAATATTTTCATTCTCTACTGATTACTTTTATATATGAAAAAATTGAAAATCTTTATTTATCTTCTATTTCTTTTATCGTTGTCATTAATCTCTTAAATCTACTCGTCTTTAAGTAATTTGTATCGACTGTTAATTTAAATGAAACTAAAAACTTTAAGAATAAAAAAAAATGGCAATTTTAAGATTATTCCTATTAAAATTTTTAACTTAAATTCTTTTTCTTAAAAAGTTTATGTGCAGCGATAAAATTATTAAATATGGTTGTTAAAAATGTAAGAGTATTCGAATATGCAAATTGTATAAACTGATACGATTTAATTTTACTTTTTATAAATTGAAATAAAAAGCGAATAAAAAGTTTTAAAACAGTTGAAAAGTATTAAGAATAAAAAATTAAAACATTTTTCAATAACTTTAATTACATTTTAAAATTTCATAAAAATTTCTTTTTTTTTTTTTTTTTTTTTTTTTTTGCACGATTACTTATCATTTGTCAATATTTCAAAATCGGAAACAAACTTTGTTTTATTTTTCAAAAATTTTTTTTTATTTAATGACAAACAACAAATTACCAATTAAATTGTTTACATAAGAGTATATAAGTTTACAATATATTTGTAATTAAAAATTTGTTTTTATTATATTTTTGGGAAATGTACCGATTAGGCTTATTATTCAGCATTAAGTTAACATTTTCATAATAATAATAATAATAATAAGTTCAAGGTTTTCAACTTACAAAAATTTTCCTTGAATAAATTTTGTTCTAATAAATTTTATAAAAAATTTTGTTTCGAATAAAAAGGAATAAATAATGACCAATTTACTTTTTAATATTTAATTATTTAAAATTTAAGCAAACTTCCACCATCATTTTTATGTATTATCAATAAGTTTTTTTAAATGTTAATCCTTATTATATTTTTAGTTCAGTTTACAAATTGTTTGTTATTAAATAAAAATAAAACTAAAATCAAATTTAATAAGTTTTTAAGGTCACACACACACACATTTAACTTCCTATGGGCATCAATGTCAACATATTGTTTCCTTTTTTTTTTTTTTTTTTTTTTTTTTACGTTGAAAATAATCTTAACGGCCATGATATACACAATAAAGGCTGAGAAAAATATTTTAATATTTTATTAAATGTTTTTCAATAACAAACAACAACAACATATTTTTTTTTTTTTTTTATATTTCAATTAGTTAAGACTTATACCCCATAATTTTTTAATAACTTTAAATTAAAAAAAATTCAACATTGAGCTATTATTAACCGTTTAAATGTAGCGTAAAAAAATTTTTTTTTATTAGATTTTTTTTTTTCGCTCCAACGCAATTTTTCTGCAAATTTTATTATTATTATTATTATTATTATTAATGAAGGTTTTTTTATATTTTTAAGGTTCAATTACAAACACAGCAAGAGGGTAAAACTTCAGTTATTCGTTTGACTGTAAATATAATTAAACAACATGGTATATTAGCTCTTTATAACGGTTTAACTGCTTCGCTTATGAGACAATTAACTTATTCTACTACTAGATTTGGTATATACGAAGTAAGTTTTATTTTTTAATCAAAATTTAATTAATTTATTTATAAAAATAAATTCAGTTAATTTATAAAAATATTAAATAATAAGTTTTAATGTGAATTTTAAAACCTTATCAAATCGATTACATCATAATTATGATAATACCTGTCCTCAAAATGTCCTTATCAATTTTTTTTTTTTTTTTTTCATAATATGACTAAACAATATTTTAATTTTATTATTATTATTATTATTTTTTAAATTAATTGGTTTTCGGTTGAGCTTGACTTCCTGTGATTTACGATCGTGAAAACTTACTTATTATCGAATGGTTATTATTTAATTTAAAAAAAAAAAAAATGATTGAAAAAATTGTTTTATGTTAGGTTGCTAAACAGGCTGCGTCACCTAATGGAGAACCTGTTCCATTTATCACAAAAGTAGGTATGGCTGGCATTGCGGGTGCTGCCGGTGGGTTTATAGGTACTCCTGCCGATATGGTCAACGTTAGAATGCAAAACGATATAAAATTACCACCCGAAAGCAGAAGAAAGTAAGTTTACATGATAATAATAATAATAATAATAATAGTAGTAGTGATGATAATCATGGGTTTGTTGATAAATATTAATTAGTTACAAAAATGCCATCGACGGTTTGTGGAGGGTTTATAATGAAGAAGGAGTTCGCCGACTTTTTTCCGGCGCATCGACGGCGACAAGTAGAGCCGTACTCATGACTATCGGTCAACTTTCATTTTACGATCAGGTCAAAACATTTCTTTTATCAACAAACATGTTTAGCGATAATTTAACGACGCATTTTCTTTCAAGTTCAACAGCCGTAAGTAAAAGATAAATAAAAAAAAAAAATCCCGAGGGATTATTTATATCCTATGATTTTTTTCTACCAGATTTTAAAAATTATTATTATTTTTTTTTTTTTTTAAAAAAAAAAAAGGGAGCCATTGCCACGACTCTGACGCAACCTTTGGATGTATTAAAAACGAGAGCCATGAACGCAAAACCGGGAGAATTTTCCGTACGTATTTAATTTTTTATTATCATTATTATTATTTAATCGAGTCGTATAATGATTACGTCAAACGAAATAGATTCAAAGTCGATAAATTTTTTTTATTTTTAAATCATCGCCAATTTTTTTTTTTTTTTTACAGAGCATGTGGCAGTTGATATTGTACACGGCAAAACTCGGACCTTTAGGATTTTTCAAAGGATACATTCCTGCATTTGTTCGTTTAGGACCACAAACAATTTTAACTTTTGTATTTTTAGAACAACTTAGAATTAATTTTGGATTTGTGAAACAGTAACCTTTTTGAATAGCGACTCCATTTTTTTTTTTTTCGGTATTAACACTAACATTACAATGTATAAGACAAATAATCATCGTATTTGATATATAATGAAATAATTATTTTTTTACAAAAAGAATCATACGTGAATTATTTATTTTATTATGTATACTCACATTCCATTAGGTGTTTTGTGATTGGGTTGATTGTATATGTCCTTAAATTTTTTGAACATTTTTATAAAAAATAGGTGAACAAAAAAAAATTATTGATGTATAAAAAATAAATTGAAATGATTCCGTGAATCCAGTGTACAGTATGGCGGTACAAAATATTTAAAAGTTTTTTGGAAACGGGAACAACGATTATTATAAATCAAATGTTGATTAATAAGTATTTAAAAAACTGTGTGTTCAATTCGTGCCAAAAAAAAAAAGTTAAATTAAAAAACTTTTATGCAATAAATACATTTAAATGACAATAAATTTTTATGTACATATATATATATATAAATAATAATAATAAATAAATTTATAAAAATTTTATGTAAAATAATTAATTGTTATGATGTTATGAAAATTTGAAAAAAAAAAAAAAAACTAATTAATTTTTTTTAAAAAAAAATTACTCTTGTGATTTTTAATAATGAAATTTTGAATAGGTCACGTGATTTTTAATTTTAATTAAAAAAATATATATATAAAAAATAATAATTTACTCAAACTAATGAAGTGATATAGTTTTGTTGTCATTAGTTATCGATAACATTTTTATTAATTTAAAAAATTTAAATTTTTTCTGTTGTAAACACGAATTTTTTTTTCGCTAAGATATTTAAAAATTTTGAATTATTAATTGCAGTAATTTTATTTATTTTTTTACGAAATTTTTTTTTTTTTAACTAAGCTGCCTTGATTCGAGAAAAAAAAAGTATTTTTCTTTTTATTTATAAATAAATCAAAAAATTGTAATTTTTGTAAAATGTAAAATGGAGAATGGTTTTTCGTGCCTTTCCTTTTAACAAGGAATTTTTTTTATTTTATATTTAAAAGGTTAACAAATGATATTCGATTGAAAATTCTCATTAATAATTACGTCCATATCTGAAATATACTTCTATATAAATATATATATATATATATGTGTAAATGTATAAAATTTTTATATATATATATATATATATATAGTTAATTTTACAATATATTAAAAAAATCTTTTTTAATGTTAATAATAATCATGGTAAATGTAAAACATGAATGTGATGATATATAATTCTGTGTAAATTTAACTAATAATTAAAATTTAATAATCATCGAATATCAATTTATTGATTTTAAATTTAAATTCGAATTCATATGCAAGCTATTAAAATATAAATTTTTTTTTTTTTTATTAAAGTTGTTGTTCCTTTGTTTCATATAAAGCTTTAAAGCAGGGTATT